GGCAATCGTAAAAAAAAATTCTCATAAGTAGTACGATTCGTCTGGGGAACGATTGACGGACAATTCTGTGCACGTGGCCAGTCACGTGCGCGACAAGCGCCAGGGAAACCCCACCAAGCTCTACTAGCTGTCTTCCTCTCTTCGAGATGAATTGTTCGTTCGTACGCAGGTTACAAATATATCATGAAATCACGCATAGTGTGCAAAACGTATTTAAAAGAAATTATCCTTCTATCTTATTGATTTTGTTACAATGAAAAAAAGTAAGAAAAAAAGTAAAAAAGAAAAATAAACGAATAAAAATGAAAAATACATTTTCGATCGGATGATTCTCGTATAACATCACGTAAATGTTCAACGTGCCGATCTGAAACTATTTTTATATAATTTATAATTTATTTATTTAATATCTCTTCCGTATCTCTTTATATCGTATTAAAAATAATAATATATATAAAAATAATAATAATATACGAGAAATTTTCCTCGTGAACAGGAATCGCTGAATGATGAATGTTCGCAAACGCTCGATCATTCGGTGCGAATCAGATCAGACTTAATCGGTTCGATAAATGCATATCTTTGCAGAAATATTGGAACGGTCAAAAAAGGTTATGTCAACTCTTATATATTGATCATATATTATGACGTATTTATAATTTATTTTCTTCCTGTTTATAAACTGTTTTGATGTTATCACTACCGGGTGATGATATTTTTCCATTTACCTTCTCCATTCATATTTTCCTATAAACATTTTATATAAGATATCGAGAGAAAATAATTCAGATAATTGAAACAACCGGTATTTGCGAACCGTGATCAATGCGTCAGGGAATCTCAACCACGTGTTTAATATTTGCGCATAAATGATTGATAAATACCAATGATATATGTGATTCAAAGTTCTTATGCGTCTAGAAGTGCACAAGAAAACTTCGATTCCTGAACACGTGTCTCGATGCATTTATATATTCAACTCGCGAGGAAGAAAACTAATAAAGGCAGTGATGAAATGTTCTTATGAATACTCATGCATACCTTAAAGTCATCCGAGTCTATACGATTTATCCGATTTCTGCTGAGATCTAGGGTCCTCAGTAAAGATAGATGAGACAGAATATGTCTTGGTATCGACGGTACTTCGTTATCCGCGAGACTAAGATATTGCGTTCTTCCCAACCCCGCAAAAACTTCACCATCTACGAACCTACAAAACATGAAGTTTCTTTAATTCTATTGTGCATAGATCTATTATAATTAAACTTCTTATTATGCTCAAGATCGTTATTTTCGCATCAAAATCATACATCATAGGGAAATAATAATTCAGATATTTACAAGGCATACGCATTGCACTGCAATTCAATTGAGGGAAACGTTTATCATAATCGAATGAGAAATTTCATTGATCGAAGAAATAATAAATTTATTCGCAACAATTAATAATGCAGATATTATTTATAAAATATGAGTTATTTTCTTGAATGGCGTGGAAATATACTTTATCAAAATAACTTCGTTTTAAGATTAATATCTTGAGATAATTAAGATCGTTGGAAACGAAAGAATAAAAATTTTCTTGTCCTCGAGAAATTTGGAATATCATTTGTCGATAAAGCGTTATCATCTTACGTACAGGCGAACAACATATGGCCCTTGAAAACACATAACTAACAAGCGATATACAATCAATCCTCAATTATCTAAAGTGAAGCGAAGTTATCGCTTATTGTCCTAGTCACGGATCAACAAAATGGGCTTATATTTTTCCTTGATATTCGAATTAAGGAAAAGGATTGTTATACTAAATACAAGATATAAGAACGGTTATCAAAGCGTTTAATCATTTGTATTTCGACAAATTTCCATCATGAATCATTAAGTTGTAAAGACCCCTCCGATAAAATATAATTTTTTTAGTTGTTCTAGAAAGCTCATATCTTTCCTCATACGATACAACTTTTATACAATATATATATTATTTTCATTATATATACATTATATATATTTTTTTTTTCATTAAAATTATTACAATTATAAAAAAAAATAACGTACGAAACTTTTATAAAAATATTTGGCTTACAATATCTATTGCATGTCATATCTCATACTTCATATTTCAAAAAAATAAAGCATCTATTCCTAGAAAGAATAAATAATTCATTGAGTATCATTAAATAGTAATTAAATATAAAAATTTAATTAAAGAAACAAAAAAGAAATATTTAACCTAACGTTTCTATTTTTAAAAATTTCTTTTTTTTTTTTTTTAAATAATTGAAATTGTCACACAATCACATTTCTAGAATTGTATAAATCTTTATCAAGGCATGCAAGTTCAAAACGAATGGACCAGTGAAAAATTTAACTGTAAAACCAAAGATGAGACACGGTCATTATCGTTCAATTATTCACATAATGTTGGCTCACAGCATTTCGTTATTTAATTATTCCAAGACGATAAGCGCAGGGCTTCTTCTTCTTGATAACTCATTCGAAGAGGTCAGGCACGATTAAGATTTCATTCTCGCGCCCATAGCTCTGCCTCTTTTTCTATCTTTCGCGAGGAACGACGACGATTGATGATTGTTCGTCCGACGTGAACTTTCGTTTTTTCTCATCTGACCAAGTATCAGGACAATCAAGGAAGACCAGTGCTCGTTCATTATGCCCATTTGAAGAGACAAAAGGACGATATTTGCATATTAATTAGAAACAAAGAAATTCTCGCGATTTTTTCATACATTCATTCTTCAATCGATAAATTGACGATAATTAACGATCGATGAAATCTCTCATCGACTATATGATGTATATAAATACATTATTTTTTTTTCTGTAAAGCAATTATTTTTTCAAGGACTCGTAACAAAGACATGAATATTACCTTTATAATATCTTTGTTCCATTGTTTCTCGAATCTTAATAAAATTTGATACATTAATTCGATATAATGTGAGAATTTTTTGGATATTGAAACTTTTATTTTTATGCCTAATTATCGACGTATTATTTAATATTTTATCTGAACAGAGTATAAAATATAATGTATAAGCAAATAATATCTTTCAAAGATAAATGAGGACAAAGATTATAGTAATTATACTCAACGTATACAACACGTGCATTAGAATTAATGTATTGTAAATTGAAGGCCATTTTGCGGTTATTTATAATTGCAAAACGCATCATAATTTTATGAAATATTTTACATTTCATTTCTCGAATGATTTGAATAGAATTTTTCCATTAAATTTAATTGTGAAAAATTTTTCATGTATAATTTTATCAGAATCTAGAATCGTTTCTTTGTTGCCTTATAAATGTCTTTATTCGCAACATCAAATGGTGACCTTTTGTGAACAGATTGTTGCTTGTATCGATAATGTATACGATACATTTGTAAACGTGTTTTTTTATGAGTTTCGAATGACAAATACATGTCATAAATTTTCTGTTATCCTTTCTATACACACGTTCCTTGAATTTCTTTCTTTTCACGCTTACAATTCGCTTATACTTTATACTTTACGAAAGTTGTGACGACATTTCGTAAGTGATTAAGGAACTTTATGGTCAGACAAGCGGGATGTGGTCAGACGACACGTTAAACATGGATGCGTGAAGTCAATACTATAATAAAATTTAAAATTTTTCGATTAATAAATTTTATAAAATAAAATTTCTTATTGATAATGTAATAAAACATCGTGATATTTTTAATCCACATACATTATCCGAAATTTTTACAACGGATTCATCTCGAGAATTGAATTTTCACCTAAAATTATTCTCACGAGGAATGAATTGCGCAGATAAATTGGATAAAAAAAATAATAATAATAATAATAATAAACGAATAAATAGAACTTCTAGGAACGTGATCATTGCTCGATCACTGCAAACGCGTTGTTAGACGTAAACGTGGCCTGATATCATTTATCCACGGGTCATTATCGGCGTCACACGATTTTCTTCATCCACAATGGAAGAGCACGAGGAATTTCCATGATTTTACGTCTTTCACGTATTGAGGAAGATACCTTGAAACCGCGAGGTCGCTCAATGAGCGAAAACGAATTCATACATATCGCATTCGTTATACTTGTTTGAGCAAACTATAACTCATACAACGTGCTTCTGAAAGGAAAAACATTCAAATTCCTGAATGATAAAACGTAAGTGAAAAAAAAATTTCACAATATCGGGATAAGAAAAAAAAAAAGCGATTAGAGTAATTAGAAAGAAATATACAGACGAGGAACACGTAACGAAACAATGATTTGTCCCTTCAGAAAAATTTTCACGCCTTCTATTCTACAACTGATAGATACAATAGCTCCCGTTCGATGCAGGTAAACTTACACACTCACCCTAGTCGATCGTGATTCAACTCGAGTTTCGTGATGGACATCCGCAGCTCTTTAAAATCGTGCCGCGATATATCCCTGAGATTCGAATGCGCGACACGTAAGGTAATCTGTTGTTCAGCGGTGAATTTGCCCCTTAACGCCCCTGCCACTTGCTCGAAAGAGTCCATTTTCTCGCACACGACCTCGATCCGTTCTCCATGGCCTCCATGGTGGCCGGCGTTGTTAACGGTTGCAGTAGCGACCGCGGCAGCCGCTGCAGCAGCGGCAGACTGGCCCGGGTTGATAACGGAACTGGAGAACTCTTCCTGTCGGCAGGTGCACGGGCTTATCTCGCGGCGAACGGCACAATGGAGGCTCGTGCTAGCCGCCAACCCTAAAAGCGTGTAAAGCAGCCCTGACATGGTGGTTCGAGTGTCAAAACACGGCCACGCTGATCACCATCCAAACGGGCCAGTAGAAAGGTCCGCGCTCGTCGACAGAGGTGATCCTTCCCCGCTCCGCAGGGACCATGCGCACCCCCTTGATACCAACCACCTTCTACCGATCCTTGCCCACCTGTGTCTGTATCTGTCTCTGTCACTACCCTATATATTCCACACTCACACCGCCTCTTATTATTGATATAATATCCAAGTTACACGACACAATATTAAGATAATTTTATAATCACTAGATAAATAAATAAAGAGTGTTGTTCACTTATCAAATAAAAGCGACAGACGAAAGGAATCGATATCAGTTTCATTCAAACTTAGAATTCAAAATTGGATTAAATTTTCGAGAAATCATTGGTGGATCGGAATAAACGGATCAGAAAAGAAAAGTGAACGGTAACCGATCATTCGATAACAAATAAGGGTTGTTTCTTTTTTTTTTTTTTTTTTTTCAGGTTATTAAATGTTATTGAATGGCTCACAAACGACACTTGGTCACTCTCTTGTTCACCGATAGATACCAACTCTAGACTGACACTGGCCGGATACGACTGACAGCTACGTATTATCTACACTGTCGCGATCCACACCCCGACGGGGTATATATATTCACTGCTGAAACGCGGGTGAAAGCTGGCTGCTGTGTATCTATCTCCGTTTTTCTCTCTTTCTTTTTCTCGTTCGTGCCGGACACGAAGGAGGCTTATCGTCGCCAATGGGCCCTCCTCTTGGCGCCACGAACGCGGCAACGGCATTAAGCCGCGGCGCGCCGCGCGAGACTTACTTATAGTCACAACGTCGTGCCGTGGCGCGGCGCGGCGCCGCGCCTCCGGGAGGGACTCCAACTCCTCTCAGGACTCGTACATTATGTGCGTACACCAAGTGGATTCCCTCTTCTTTTGCCTTCTTCTTTCGTTTTCCCTTCGTTTCTGCCTTTTTATTGCTTACCGTTGATCTATTTGTCGCTTGTGTTTCCGGTCGCTTGGATCGGCAACCGGAAGTCTCCACACGTGAAACGTACACGAGTACACTTCCTCAGTTTCGTCCTACAACTTCTGTCGGGCGTAAGCCTAGAGAATAGACGATATCCTCGTAAGTCCTCTCGATTATGATAGATATTTAACAATATAGATAATAGAAAGCTTCTTTCGACTCGTCCCATGATTCACGAATATCGATTTCCTTTCCTTTTAAAGAAGATCCAGTGCACGTTTCTCACTAAGCGAGACGGCAAGAAGCATCGTCAATCTCTCAATGCTGGCGCACTGCATATGCAAAGGCGTGTTTGCACCGATAAGAAGAGCATTGCTCAACTTTTGACCTTTGCTTAGCCGCTTCAGGGTTCGTAGGCTGAAAGAAAATACCAGATAATTCGCTCGTGGATCCCTATCTTTCTTTTCACTCTTTCTCCCTCTCTCCTTGTCTTCTGCTCGTTGATATCTTACCCTCTCTCTTCCTTGTAGTCTTTCTTCCTCTATCTTAGTAGCTAGTAAATGATACGTACGATCGACAGTCGGACCTAATAAACAATTGATACTATGAAACATTTTGAACGATGTAAAAACGCGTTATCGTTACTCGAATTACATACATTTTCAAGTTTTTTTTTTTATCTTTCTTTGGTCCATAACACCGGTCATTTTCTCATCTGATAGTAGACGTTTTTAATCCCGACTACTTCGTACGCGATAACATTAATACCAGGTGCTTATTACACTCTGTGTGCATATGCAAATTTATACACGACGTACTTATTAAAATTACATGTAAGCAAGATGTGTTTAATTGCATGATGCATTAATACGATATGCAGGATAACTTCTTTATCATTAAATGAATATCTTCTATTTTTATTTATTTTTTTTTTCTTTTACTAACAAATTTGTCAATGCAACGAGATCGGCATCACCCTTTCCTTCGAATCGCATTTTAGAAAGCATGGCTAAGCGCCATAGGTATCCCAGAAGAAGAGAGGGAGGATGGATTTTGAGGTAGGTGAACTGCCAAGAACGCTCTTGGAATGTTGGTTCGGTGAAACTTGTACATTTTCATCGCTCTCTTTTTTTTTTTTTTTCTTCTTCTTGTTATTATTATCGCTCTGTTGTTGTGTTGAAGTTTGAAATATGAAAATCGTTAATATATCATCTACTGGTGGTCTCAATGAAACCTATACCCTTGTAGTAATCATTTTACTTGTCACGATTAATTTGAAAATAAATAAAGTAATAGGAATATTTCTGAAAAGTTGATTCAGATCGTAACATACATTTTTCATCATTTTCTTCTTTATTATCTTCCATGAATAAATCATAAAAAAAAAATGCATCTAAAATATAATATAATTGAGTAAAATTAATTCTCATCGTTTCACATCATTATCTTATTGTCATACCTCGTATCATTTTTGTTGACACACTCAATTTCGCGAGCTGTTAAAAAAGTCCTCTTGATCCCCTTATAGATGTTATCGCTTGCGTTGTCGCGATGAATTTCGAAGCAGTTAGGAACGCTACTGGAATGTTAATCCGTTCAAGTTCTCGGTTTCCTTTTTCTCGTTTTCGTCATCCTCGCCGTTATCGTTTTTGCTGTTGAGCTACTAATCTTTGTAAATGTTAAAAAGTTAGCAAGGACTGACACGACTATCAAAGTATGTGTCAAGTTGGTACACGTGTCTTGTCTTTTACATGATATTTTAACACGGTTCACGATCCTGCAATTATCTCAGTAACAATAAGTATTGCTAATGTTAGGCGATAATTATTCTTGTATTATTTTTTTGCTTCCCTAATTTGTTAAATTATACAATATTTTAATCGCATTGTTAATTTAATAATCCTTATATTAAAATAATCAAAACACTTTTTTTAATAAATGAGAAAAAAATCTCTCGATTTGAAATTCATACTTCGTTCGTTTATCGAATTACAAATAGTAGTGATTATAAATGATCTTTCAATGCTATCTTTCGTTCATTGTAAACCAATACGGATTAATTACCGACCTCAACGATCAGACATCTCTTCGTGGATCATTGAAGCAACAGTAAATATCTGACAGCCCGCGTGCCTCTCGTATTTTCACCGACCGGTTTCTATGAATTCCATTGACACGATGTATCATCGCGGTTTTCCTCCATGAGAGAAGAAAGAAACTTCTGGGCTTATTTTTCGCTTCACTTGCATCATTAACATGTTCCATGAATATGTCGTGCTCTATCTGTCAAACACACTATACATATATATTCCACATATGGAACTTGCCTTGACCACAAAGATAAACGAGAAAATACTCGAAGAAGAAGTTATGCATAAAATATATATATATATATATAT